CCCCGCAGCCATGTGGAAAATGGAAACCATGAATTGTACAGAAAAGAGGACTCTGGGTGGATTAAATCAAGTCTTAACCTTAAAGTATAACGGTTTTATGTTGTGATTAATGGCTTCTTGTCCCTAAAAAGAAGGTAAGTCTGCCACAGTATATGAGCAGATCTATATCTGGAAGTGAGTCAGTGTGTGCAGAGGCAGGTGACCTCTGACAAAAACCGTCCTGACATCAATACATACTAATCAGTGAGGGACTCTCCCTTTGCCACACAACATACAGGTGATCGAGTTCATCAGTCAACCAGACTGCTGACACCCCCCCCCCTCCCAACGTCTTCGACCTTTCACCTACACCCAACACAGCCGACTAAAACCACCAAACCTTCTATTTCTAAAAGCTTTGGTTTAGCCCGCCTTCAGGTCTGGAGTAGTTTCTCATTGTGGCATGTTTGGCTTAGATGAGGTAGGCTGAAGAAGAAAAAAACACTTCTTCATCTCAGCAACCATGGCATTAAGAGCTTGTACTGTACAGATGTCTCACTCTTCCTTCTACACTTATTGTTGTAAGTTTGTATGAATAAAATGTGTAATTTAACATCCGTGGCTCATATTAGTTGGGGAAATAAGGATTTTATTGTTCCATCTTTATTAAATTAATATAATTTTGATATTTAAAGCAACATTATGTAACTTTTCTATCTTACAACAGCTTCAAAATCATTTTGTTGCTACACTGACTTGCATTCGGGCGCCTCTGTCATTCCCTGACAGAAATACACCTTTATTTACCAGGTATTAAATTCACAATCTAGCCATCCATGTTAAACTATACAATATATATATCAAAATAAAGGGGAAAAAGCCCATTTGAGACCTGCTGTGGTCGCATTGGTCCATGCTACATACTAAAATAAAGATTAACGTCTCGTAACATTACCTTTACCTCGTAGCCATTATAGTAAGTTATAACATTGTGTGCATCCACTCTGGCTCTGGATCCTTCCATTAAGGGTGTTCATAACTGTATCTTTTGCACAGTTTCAGCTCCAGAGAGACGTGGAAGCGAGGCTGACTTACGAGAACCGAGGAAGGATGGAGGGCAGCGAGTGAGGGGCCCACGAAAAGGGGACACGGAGGACAAGGAGTGGAGGGGGGGCTTCACATCAAAGTTGTGTCTGGTGGCTAGAGATTAGGGACCGCATTGCAAGAGGGGATTGTTCACTCCCCAAAGGGTACGAACATGAGTGTGTGTGTGTGTGTGTGTGTGTGTGTGTGTTTAAAGGGGGGTTCAGCTCCTCGGGGTCTCTCTCTGGGGGCTGCATTCCTTGTCTGTCATGTACTTTATGGCCCCTTCCAGCTCAGATCGAGCCCTTCACTTTATACATTGTCTACTTTGTTGCCTATTGTACAGCGTGAACTCTGAAGGCTCACAGAGGCTCGTACAGTATATCATCCACTCAGCAGCAACCTGGACGACCAACATGCAAACTGTACAAGACCACTAGATTAAGAGATTAAATGACTAGTAGTGGTATAATCTGTTGTATTTTCACATTACAGCTACATACAACTAACTTTACTGTGTATTAAATCCACTGATGATGGTGGAAAGATGATATCAAGGCAGTGAGGCTTGTTTTATGTGACTTTTGTGACTGATTGAGCTTCAAACATCACCAGTGATTCAGTAGTGTCAAAGTTTCTCCGCTAAACAAACGCTCAATGATTCATTGACGATAAGATAAGAGGAGAGTTTTCAACCAATGTGGCGATGTACACTACAGAGAAAGACACGATCAGTACCGATGCACATTAAACACGCTTTCTTTGTCAGTTTCATTATTTAAAGATCAGTGTTTCCATGATCATGCTGCTACGGATGAGTCGACACTGAACAGCTCAACTTCACCTCCGCTGTCTCCACCAAACCATCATGGCCACGACCATAACGCCAAACTTAAAAACTAATGTGTGATGCCACCATAGATTCATACTTCAGACGCCATCAGTATGTTAACTCCATCAGTAGCTTAAAGTGGTCTTAAATTACAATAATATCGTTTATCGCAATTATATCTGGGACAATATATCGTCCAACAAAAGTTGGAACAAACATAACAAAATATATAAAAAACTACCCAGAGAATATATTCATGTATGATCCTGGTTTAAAAATATACTGTGACTGCTCGTGGTTAATAAAAAGGGACATAAACTCCTGTAAAGTACCACAAATATTAATGTTACACTACAAAAAAACACAATTTTAAAAAGGCCTTTTGTCTGCTGTTGAGTCACAACGTCTTTGTCTTCTTCAAAGGTTTAAACTGAATGTAATATCTGGGTTTTGTGCTGACGATAAGTCGAGACATCTGAAGGCGTCATTTTGGACTCAGACATTTTGATTTGATTTTCTAAAACTATCTTCTGTCACTTTATACACGAAATGATTAATTAACATTATTTTTTACATTAAAATCCTTAAAAATGTCCCCTACCTCGTTAAAAACCTTATAAATATGCATTTGAATTGTGTTTATTTTAAGTTCTCTTGCTGACACAAGACTTCAAGAAATCATAGACAACAAATCATGCTCGTAGGCCCCGCCCCCCTTTTTTTTCAAAATCTGCTTTTCAATGAGCTCCGATAAACTTTCAGCCCATGAATGTGATGAAACAAACAAACAGTGACACATCCAACTGTAGGAGCAAAAAGAAAAACATATCTCTGAGAGGTGGGGGGGCTTTAAGTTAAGTCCGAGTCCATATATTGACATTTAGTATTTAAATAAACCCAAATAAGAGACAGATGTGGAAGAAATTGGCTCTTTTTTTTGGAGTGTAAACACTTTTTACTGGTTGTCCTGATGAAAGTTACTAAAAAGCACTAAAAGTTGCCCTAAAAACAAAAAAAATAAGAGCACGTTAACTTATTTGGTGTTTTTGGAGCATGGGCTGTGGAGTGTATCCTATGAGGAAGTTCAACCGGTAAACCACCGTCGGTACACGTTTCACCGGGGCACAGCCACAACCAGGAAACCGTAAAAAAAAAAAAAAAAAAAACCCCAGTGCAGTTAAACCAGATCTAACATCCCCTCCACAGGTAGCCCTGCAGGAACACCACAGGGGCTTATAAAAAACAAATCACTGTTCACTTTTCACCAGCAAAGACACAGTTTGAAGTCGTAATAACAGCATTATACCGCCGATGTTTGAGCACCGTAAATCGCCTTTAAACTCAACACCCCCCCACCTTAAGCGACGCTGGAGTCCTTGCAGGAATACTATTAAACAGCAAGAGACTATAAAGTAAAAAGATCCGCCACCAAGTCGATGAATCCCGCACAACTTTGCACCGACAGCTACGATAAAAAAAAAAAAAACCCTCTTGAGATTCTTCCAGGATTTCTGCACGAATACTGTAACAAATGCTTTTATATGAAACCATCCGTATGAACTCATGCATGGTGGATATTTGAGCTAATCGTTGCAGGAGAAAACACAATCAGGTTCAACACATGGAGCGTGCACATGTGCAAGAAGGAACCGAGCTGTGCACTTTTTACATTAATGACAAACAAACTGCGAGTTTGGCGCCACAAAAAAGCGACAAAACATGTAGCAAATGTGACTTTATTCTTACTAAACTACATGTTTCATTGTGACAGTGTAACCGTGTAAATGCAATGAACCCCTCGGTCCCCTCCCCGGTGAACTACTTACATAACCATCCACGCTTCTTGCGCTCATCCACGGCAGGAAAATGAGAAGGAAGTTGCTGGTTGTTGTTTGAAGGTGTTTTTTTAAAAAAAAATAGTAATAAAAAAAAAGGGATTTTTAAGAGACACAACGGAGCCTTGAACTTGAGCAGGAATCAGAAGTGGTCTAGTCCTCTCTGTGTAGAGTGTGTAAGAGTATGCTGCTGCAGATCTCTGAGCTGTGTGCGGGTCCCTGTGTGCTCTGACTCTCTTTCTATACTTGACCTGCACACACAGATGAGAGCAGATTGGTCTCCCGCCCCCGCTGCTCCCCCCCCTCTCCTTATCTGCACTCCGATTTACACCATCAGCCTCTTTTTTTTACCATATTTCATTAGAAATGACTTTTGATTCCCCCCCATAGCTCTAAAGTTTCCTTATGAAGACAAAAAATACAAAGTTTTTGCAGAAAGAAAAGCATAAAAGTAAAATGTGACTGTAATTTACTGCACATTTACTTTAAAGGGCACTTTTTTACTTCTACTCACAACTCAAGAGACAAATATTCTGCTTTTTATGTTTAAAAGCTACTTTTCAGATCAAGATTTTACACTCAGTTATATAATCATTGTATTAATTATATGTTTTATATATATATATATATAGTTATAGATTTAAAGAAGTGCTCCGTAAAGTAACCCTTTACTCAAGTAAAAGTCCTCTTTTTAAAATCAGTTAAATGTACTAAAAGTATCGCAGTCAAGTTGATGCACTATTAAAATAACATGGGAGTGTTACTCTATAGCCTGCTATATGACAAGAGACTACTTTATGCTGTAGAAACATGTTGTTGCATGCACAGTTAGGTGTGTATTGATCTGTATGTGTTGTGTTAAAGGTGCAGTGTGTTTATTCTAGAGATTGTTACTGAGTGTTGGTTTTGTTGTAAAAGCACTTTGTAAAGGTGCTATATGGATAAAGTTTATTATAAAAGCACAATAATACATTCTTTTGCTACAGAGTTTATATCCTGTAGTATGTGCTGTGTGTGTCTTATAACGACTGTATTATTGTTCATTACTGAACGTTTTCACTTATTTTAACCATTTTTAACCACACTTTAGGTCAACTTAACATTAGACTGACTGACAGTGTTTAATATTCTTTAAAAAATAAAGAAAAATACAGTTTTAACTGATTGTATAACCGTATAAACCACATTTTAATGATTAAATATTTGCATTAAAGCCTTTAATTTCTCTGCAGTTCCTCATAGCAACGGCGGTGCCCACTTAAGAACGCATGCGCACTGAGGAACCCGGACGTGTGCTCGACAACAACAGAGCAGCTCGGACGGTTTTTCTCTGCAGATTAAAAGAAAAAAAAAAAAGATGCAGCTTCACTTCACTAAAGATGTTTTACCGGATTCTGTCAGCGCCGATTTTCAGAACCTGAACAAACTGAACGAGCAGGTACATAAATAAGCTTTATTATTAGATTATTGTTCCTAAAACTGCACGAAGAAAGCGTCAGTTCAGCCAATTGAGCTCCATGTGACTTTAACTGAGGCTTTTATTCCCCTTCGAGCACATCTGTGCACAGCTGTCATCGTTTCTGAGGCGTTTAAGGTTGAATGAAAGAATAAGTGGTTATGTCTTTATTTATTCTGAGCTGTCAGTGAACACATCACTGCTCGTGTGTGTCATGTGACAGCAGACTGTTGATCATGAAACATAACATTAAAGTACTGATATATAAAATACACTTGGATAACCTCTAATTAGAGCTTTAGCTAATTAACAGTGCACTTTTATTTGTCACTAAATCTGTGCCCATGAAAACTCACCAAAACTGATCAATTATGGATTTTTGTGACCAATATTAATAAAAGAAATGAAGATATTATGTTGGCCGATAGACAAATCAATCATAATAAAGATAATTTAGATTTATTTTTTTACAATTTTGTGTCCAGGATACATATTATATACATAGAAATGATTCCTAAACCGTGAATTGAAATAAATATTTGACCGTATAAGTTTAACATTCAAACGTCAAGAGCTCCAGTTTTGAATGTGTCACTGTGAGTGAAGCATTGTGGAGTTACAAAATAACGATTCCCACTAAAATCGTGACTCATATCACAGTTGAAGCTCATCAGCATCTGGAGGATTTATTATTATTATTATTATTTATTTATTATCAGTGCAATGTAACTGGAGCTCCAACACTAATTTATGGTGTTTACATTTAAATTCTCAGAACTATTGTGGAAATACAAATGAGTGTTTTACTGCCAACTGCACAAATACTGGGTGTTTAAATGTATATCATTTATAATTTTATTATGGAAACTATTAACTATTCATTTATATTTTTCTCCAACAAACCGAAGCTGAATATATATATATTATTTTTTATATACAGACATTAAAAACAAGACTTTCTTTCATTTTGTGCAGCAATTTCTTCGTCTGATTGAAATTCTGTTCCAGTTTCTACTGGAGCCTAAAGAGGTGAGTGCACACACACACACACACACACACACACACACACACACACACAACAATTTTGATGTTAATGGGACTTTGGACTCAGTGATTAGCCTTGATAACTGAACCGAGGTAAAACACTGCCTGTCCTATTGTGTGTGTGTGCAAATGAATGCATTCATATGTGTGTGTGTGTGTGTGTGTGTGTGTGTGTGTGTGTGTGTGTGTGTGTGTAGACGGAGAGGTTCATGCAGCAGCTCGGTGAGTTTGCAGGGGAACACGGAATGAGTGCCGGTCCTCTGAGGAATGTGATGAAGAGTGTCCTTCTGATGCCACAGGGTGAGGAACACACACACACACACACACACACACACAGACACACAGACACACACACACATCCGTGAGACCGAGACAAACCTAATAAATCCAGTTATTTCCATGTGTTTGAGATAATGTGGTGAGATCATTTAGCTGTGGACGTCTCCTCTGTCCCCTTCGCCTGCCTTATCTACTTCTGCTTCAGTTAGTGATTAGTTAGTGTAGCGATTATCCATTAATTCAATAATTTGGCTTGTTTACTTTTTCATCCGCAGCCACCGTGGTCCAGTTAGTTTAGTTCGGAGGAGCCCTCAGTTTCGCAGCTCTTTCCTCACACATCTTCTCCACTCTTGTACTCGTTGTTGGCCGTCACCGTAGCTTGTACCTCCTTCTTTTAGCTGTCAAAAAAAAACTAAAACACTGGTAATGAATTTTCCCACGCCACTCAATTTGATACTCATGAAAGTTCAGCTATAAAGTGACAGAAGAAAAGCCGCAGCTGCAGGAAGGTTCCCGTCTCAGTGTTTTCCCCCTTCGTCTCTTTTCTCCTCAGGGGCCCTGAAGAAAAACCTGACAGTGGAGCAGATCAAAGAGGACCTCTTGACATTAGGTACACATCCGAATCCTTCATCGCAGAGTCAGTTCTTAACAGGGTCGCTTTGACAAACATGGGTTAAGTATAGCTGCCGGATAGTGTTCTCTTATGATGACCTGTCACGTTGAAAGGTGGCCCATAACTTCCCACGATATTTCTCCTCAATGTTGTTGATCGTTATACACGTGAAACCAAATCTGCTCTATCTGTTGACTCTCCAGGACTAAACGAAGATAAGGCGACTCACTTTTCACAGCAGGTAACTTTCCATAAATTCTGGATGTTTAGATTTATAATTAGATCCAGTACATACATTTTGTTGGAATACTGATACTGGTATCGGAAATCCCTCTGGTGCACCGATCGGATTTTATGTGATTCATTCACCCTGCTACTTCCCAGCAGTGTCTTGTTCGCCATTTTCCCCCCAGGATAGTGAAGTTATGACCTGTTAAGACTCTGACAAAGGGTTTAACAATCATACAGACTTAGTATATGTATATATATATATGTATATTTTAACGCGTATGTATTGGATCAGTGCTCTGTATCAGCTGATACACAAAGTTAAGGTATCTGAATCGGTATCTGAACATCTCTTTTAATATAACTTTGCCTCCTGAGCTCAAAAAGTCCCATAAAATCTGTTCTTATTTTACCAGACAGGACTGAATCGGCACAGGCGTCTTTCTGACATTTCTAATTGTGTTTTGCAGTGGGGGGAGCACTATGCCGTGCTGTCCAGACTGGCAGTCGGGCAGACTCTGATGGTCAACCAGCTGGTGGACATGGAGTGGAAGTTTGGAGGTGAGACAAAGCAGAACCAGACATCACATCAAATTTAGCTCTTGACAAAATTATAGGTTCGAGTCTATTTCTGAACATGCTGGGAGAGCTGCTGATGTCTCTAACTTACAGCGCTTATTCATGAACACAGAGGCTCCAGTCTAACATTGTCATTAGCATAGCTTATGTTCTTTGTTTTGGCTTCAGTCTCATTTAAACACCTCAAATGTGTACAGCTGACGGGTCTCTATCAGGCCTCATTGTTTATTCATACAGTCTAATGACTTCTTAAGACTCACAGGGAATAGAAATGCTAATATGCCGGGCAGGAGAATGATTAGCATTATGTTAAGCTATTGGTGAGCTGATGTTGGTACAGAAAGACACTGTGATTCAGTTCAGGGCCTGCACTCTCCACTGTAGTTTACTTGACTGTACTGTTATTGACATGCAAAACACCTTGAGCCAGGCAGAGAGACTGTGTCTCTGCATGTTGCCGGTGAGTCGGCTGTATCCAGTCTGGCCTCTGTGGAGACTTGACTAGTGTGAAAGCCAATATGGCCACTGCTCGTCTCACATGTTGGTGCCCTCTGAGATAATGCTGAATGTATATAAAGTGCATAAAAATAGTCTTACACGTTTTCTTTTAAGACTTTAAACAGCTTCAGAATCAGTTGAATATGTTTTTCGGATGATAGTTTGGATGAAGACTTTAAAACACTGAGAAACAATCAAAATACAGAGGTGATGAGCAGAGTTTATCTTAAACATCTAATGTAACTAATTACTTTTACTTAAGCACTTAAGTACAGATTCATGTTTTACTTGAGTATTTATATTTTATACTTCTAGTCAAAAACACCATCTCAGAGGCAAATATTGTTTTATTGCACTAAATCTAACAGCTTAAGTTAATATGAATTTTTTTTTTTTTTTACACATATAAAGACTTCTTATGATGTTTATATGTATTATTGTATTATTTTCTATACAAATATCTAACATTGAACCTTTATGCATCAACCAGTGATAATTTTTCTTTTGGATTATAACTCAGTGTGTTCTTGTTTGTGATCTCACTTATTATGAATCAAGTCAGGATGTGTTTTTATCCCCCGCAGTGACGGTCGGCACCAGTGAAGTACAGAAAGTGGGAAACATCTTTCTGCAGGTACGATAGCTCTGCATTCGAGAGACCACACGCACACACACACACACACGCACACAAACACACACACACACACAGTTGCGCACTTCTTGGTTCAGTTTGGTTGAACACAAACTTTGCCCTCTTGCAGTTGAAGCTGGTGGTCAGAAAGGGAAACTCCACTGAAAACGTCTACATGGGTGAGTGATTATGTGCCGTTACTGACGCAAATGCCGCTGATAACATTTTAACTATGTTCACGTAATTTGTTCTGTTTGCATGGTCTTTTTTTTTGTATTCTGTTACAAGCAAGCCAGGCAGGGAATATCATGCATACATGCAGTTGTTCAAATAAATAAAACAATTCCCAGAAGTAGATCATTAAATCGGGTTCCTCTCAGAAACACATCTATGGCACTGAAATGTAAATATGTGTTTTTCTTGCTGCTGTGCACACAAGCAAGAGAAAATCCAGTTGACATGGAGATGGATCATTTACTTTCACATTCTTCCAACTGTCGGCTGCTGCTTCTCCCATTCCTAGTTTGAGAAAAGCCAGTTCTCCAGAAACTAATCGCGGAATTGCTTTACATACAGTGGGTTTCCTGAGCCGATGAGCGTCATCGTGAGGAGAAAAAAAAACAGAAAGACTGAGATGCTTATGAGGAGATCAACACAAAGAGTTGGTTTTTGTGTGCTAAAACTGTACAAATCCCACAATTATTGCGTGTTAGATCTTCATGATCCCATGAGGGGACCCCTGCCTGTCAGCTCAAATAGATTAGACTCTATGATCAATGTTTTGGTGACATGTTGATGCCTGTTTCAAGTGAGTTGGTGACAGCTGGTAGAGCTGCAGACGGATGGCTTTGAATTGAAAAATGTATCTATGTTTGAAACAGGTGTTCGGAGCCTCTTTTCATGATGCCCTGCAGCTGAAAAAAATTATGCTTATTAAATCCTGAGTGACACAGTTTGCTGTGAGTTTAGTTTTCACTAACGTGCTATAAATCTGCAATTTCATACATTATATGCCAAAGTTACTAACTAGTTTTGAAGACTGTTTTTAAGCCTCCAATTTGGCATTACAGCCGTCGCCATGTTGGGGTTTTTTTTGCATCCAGCAGACGACGAGTTGAGCTTCGACACATACATTCTCATGTCACAGATTAACAGTGCATTGAAATATGTCTCTGAATAGATTTTAAACATTTATTTTACTCTAAATGGGACCATAATTTACTAAATGAACATCATGCTGTATGGAAGAAGACTTCAAACTAGCGATTGAGACCATAAACTAATCAGGAAACTGTTAACTGAGCTTATAAAAAGAAGAGAAGTGGGGTCATTTCCCCATGAGGCTCAATACTATCATACTTCTTCTCTGCAGCCCATGGAGCTGCTTCCCGGCTGGCCAGTAGAAAGAAAGTTAAAGACACTTCCAGAAGCTCTTCCCACTAATCTTATACTGTACAGTCAGGGCTGCAGACAAACAGCAAGAATATACATGCTATTTTTTGTCTCCAGTGCTAGCGTGACTTCTGTGCTCTTCCGTTGATTGTGTGTCACCCACCCCCAGATAATTCCTTACCACCAGCAGAAACTTTGTGTAGTCTTCATTAGCGTTATTACTGTCAACACGAGGCTGTAAAAAAATAGTTTTGGAACGATAAGTTCCTTCATGTTAACACTGGAAAAGCTGATACAACATTTGTGACAATGAGTTTTCTACCTTCCCTGCTGCATCTTGATCATCATCATGTTTATAAATGGGGAAATCCACGTTAAAACTGTCTTTTAGATGGGGCTTACTGGCGCTAGGGTTGATATAAAATCAAATTAACCATCTAAATCTCAGTTCTCCTGTTTATTTCCAACAAAGCAGACGTTTCAAACTCTTCACTTCCAGGGATATTTTTCCCTTTTTAAAGAGCAACCAGACAAAGAAATGAAACGAGTTGAAACATTATTGTTTATACCAAAGTGTGAAAGCGTTTTTAATTTATTTTTTTGCAGCACTCAGTGAATGTCAGCCTGTTTATGTACAAATTGTTTCCTGTTTTCTTCCCTCGTGTCTTGCAGAGTTGACTCTCCCTCAGTTTTACAACTTCTTACACGAGATGGAGAGAGCCAAGGCCAGCATGGAATGTTTCAGCTGAGTGTGTGTGTGTGTGTGTGTGTGTGTGTGTGTGTGTGTGTGTGTGTGTGTGCGTGAATGTAAGAGTGTGTGTGTCTTCATGTCAGGCTGTAGCTGCAGGGCAGTGTTGTGTGTGTGTGTGTGTGTGTGTGTGTGTGGTATGTGTTACGTCATTTTCATGTCTGTGTGTGGCACTGACGCCCTCCCCTCCCCTCCCCCAGGGACTGAAGCTAAACACAAAAAACTAATTGTATTTACTGCCAAACATTTAAACTCAGATCTCCTAATAAAGATGAATACAAATAAAACAGTCGCACTCTGTGGTGTTCTTTGATTTACGTGGGAATACATTTTTGCGTTGTTGTCTTTTTCTCAGATATAAATGGTGTCTTGACGTTTCATCAATACTTTTTGTCCTTGTCTGTCATTAAGATAAAACATTAAGTGAGCCCTGTGGGGACGATTTGGGCGTCCAAAACAAACACTGGAAATAAAGGAGAGAAAGTTCAACCTCACCCACATCTGTTTGATCAAGTTCGGTCCTGCATCAATAAAGTTGATTAAAATTGAAACAATAAATGCATACATTTACACGTCGCCCGATAGCTGCAGTACATGCACAGATGATTGAGCCTTTCCACCCTAGAGCACGCGTTGCTACATTTAAACAAAAAGTTCTTGAATATAACTAAATGTGAATTAGCAGCAGTAACCGATGAAAGGTGGATAAAGTGCAGATGAAAGCCTCGATGCAGATAAATACCTCAATGATATTTCTAAACCTCGAGGCAGATTTCCGAGGAGAGAGCGGCACCGTCGTACGTGTGTCTACTAGTCCCCGTCTTTCCTCAACGTTTCTATTATTTTACAATGTGCAGTAATTAGCTCAGCAATTACCTGCGAGTTATGGGCCCCCTGGGATAATTTCTACATGTCTATGACAGTAAAGTGGTTCCAACCGTGGTCTGTCTGACTGCCTCTCAGGAATACGCTCAATTTCATGGCTGTCTGCCCACTAGTTCACAAGATTTCTTATCTTATTCTCGAAGGAGTTTATGGCACCTCGCTTTTACGTTTCTTTGTACAAAAGCATCTGCCAAATGAATACATTTAAAAGTACATATTAAATTTTGCCCCAAAAAGGGGGGAACAAATGAAACAAGACTAAGGGAATATTTACTAACTTGTTGCCATTGTAGTTGTTCATTTAGGGAGGTATTTACTAAGACTACAAATGTAAATTATTTGCATAAAGTGCTGATAAATAAGACTTGAGACTGGGCTGTTTTGACACATGTTGCATGTCTGGAATGTAATGGAGTACAAAAGAAATGTTGAACTTTGGATCTAGATTGAAGATAAGACACTTTTTCCTGCGAGGGAGCATTCATCACACCAGAATTCACCAGAGCCACAAACTGCAGCCTCCACAATGATCATTATGTTCAATCTGGACCTCTGAACATTATGACCTTTATAAAGGAAGGATTTATTGCAGAACTGTTGTACTGCAGTTTTTATTGAGGTGCACCTAATAAACCGGCAAGTGTGTAAATTCCCGTTTCCTCCTCCCATAATTTCCCAGGAATGCCTTAAAATACATTTTGCATGAGAGCAACTTTCTGCAGCATTACATTTCCTCCAGGCTTTATGTCCTCTAATTCTTTAGGCTTTATGTTCGATGAAAGCTAAATTGTGTTTGTCAGTTTTTTTTAGTCCGAACTGTAGTTATATCAGTTATAGGATCTCTGCCTTTCTTACCCTTTTATCGGTATCAACCATGAGATGCAGGTAGTTATTGGTGAATGGTGTCAACTGAAGAACTCCATATTCCCTACTGCAAATCCTTGGTAAATATCCCCGTAGAGTACAGTTCTGAGTTAGTTAAATGTTTGTTCACTATTGTAGTTTAACATTAGCTTGCTAAAATGATCTAATTACCACCAAAAAAATAGGATTTTATATAAAGAAACCATAAACTGTTTAATTTATATGATATTATAAACTAAATATAGTCAATTATGTTAATAATGTCACTTATAATATGTCATTTTCAAGAGGTTATGCATCCAGTCCTGTAATCTGAGGGTAACTGCCTCCTACAGTTCATATTAGCTGTGGATGATCTCTATTGTGTTCTTTGTTTTGACATATGAGTTCTGTCTCTTTCAGATTAATCCCAACCCCACTTTTCCTCAAACACACAATTTATCATAATCATGCAGCAAGATCAGACTCAGCGCTCCTTGTGGCGTACCATTATCAGTGTCTGTAACCCCAGACTTCACTTCACCAGCAGTTCTTCCCCTCAGGAAATCCTGCCATATGTAATCTTTACAACCAGCACTGTACAACACATCCTTCCCTCCCTCAGGTGTTTAATAGCCAGTCTGACTGACAATCAAACTGGCGTCGCCCATTAAAGAGTTTCAACATCAAAACTTCATGAAATCAGTCATGACACGCTTTGACAGGCGTCTATCTACAGCCGTGTCATTAACATTATTTATAACATTAATTGGCTTCATGTCTTTGTGCTATCACCAACACCTCGGCTTTTAGCACTCACCTGCCACACTCATTTGCAAGAATATTCCTGGATATGCGAATGATAAAAACATACGTCATAACTAAGGATTCCCTCCTTTCCCCAGCTTGGAAACATAACTCATCTCTTCAATCTGGTGTTCCCCGGCAGCTTGTGTAGGTTTTAAATGTATTTTTACATTAAAGTTAAATAGATCCTGGTTCTCATTGAGGATAAAAACAAGCAAACCCTTCACTTACTGTCTGTGTTTGTTTTTGTCCATGTTAACGTGAACATACGGTTTCCTCATTTCCTCATCCGGCCATAAACGAACACAGTATGATGTCGTCTTCCTGAAACATTGCAAAGCTATATGAACACCACATTCCCAAACCTGGTCCGTGTATCTGTGACAGTGAAATCTAATCTCTTAAATTCTTGTATGCTGTTATATTTCCCAAATAAGCACATGCAAACAGCAACAGTTTGGACCACATGTCAGGATGCCTCAGTAATATTTGCCCTTTTACACTTAAGACTATTTGTTCTGTTAAAGCATACTTTTTTGGCAGTCAACAGCTGCAGATTGAAATTGATCAATCTGTTATCAGAAACTGTCTAATTTCTATCTTCCTGCCAAGAATCTGTTAGCTTGGTGGGTTTGAGATCACTTTATTTCTTGTTTTTCATCTTAAATTACTACCAGGCTACCAGGACTCATCTGTCTTCTACCTTATGTCTCCTTCTTATTTTGGATTTTATGTCACACTCTTCATCTGTGCTCAATCAAAAGAGGGATTTTTTTTTTGTTTCTGTGGATAGGCTTTGCTCATCACCATCACTAAAATATTACCCCAAATACCCCACGTCTTCTTGATACTCTAACCACATAGTGAGCAAATATCCCCCTTTCTCAAAAATGGCCCATTTTCGCATTTTTCAAGTGATTAAACTCCTGGTTTCTCACCAACTCCCCTCCTGGTTTCTGCTGATTCACTTCTACCGTAACATTCTTTCACTTTCTTCTCTACTCTCCCCCCTCTTGTCCTCTTTATTTCTCTCTCTCTCTCTCTCTCTCTCTCTCTCTCTCTCTCTCTCTCTCTCTCTCTCTCTCTCTCTCTCTCTCTCTGTCTCTTTGTTCATGGTGCCTACCCTTCCTCTCATCCTGTGACCTGGCATGTTGCTGCATGTTCTCATCCACACAGGAAAAAAACAAAACATAGTAATATTCCCTTTAAACATTATAAGTTGGACAACTCAGCATCATCCTCCACAGCTTTAACATTACAGTTTTACAGTACTATAGTGCACATTACAGCCATACTGTTTCTGAAGTTACTCACATGTTCAGAGTCACATGTTCAAGTGTAAGACTGAAACTGAAGGGTTTTTACCACCCTGCTCTCCCTGACCCTCATGCTCTCTCTCCCTCTCTCTGCATTTACTTTTAAGAGTGAACAAGAAAGAAATGTTATCAGTAAAATAAATGGTGTTTCTTGCCATGATGTTCAAGAATGGAATCCATTTCTGCTCTGAATGGCTACGATTATTATGTCAAGACTCATCTCACATGCTGTACACTATGTCATCTGACTGGTACTCATTTTCTCTTTGCTCTCTACTTCCTACTCAATAAAAGTTTTTTGCCTTTATTGAGTAGGAAGTAGAGAGCTAAAGATAGACAGGAAGGAGGGACAGAGAAAGGGGATGACGTGCATCAAAGGTCCGAAGGTTGGACTTGAACCCCATGGCCACACTCCATCAGCCCTGTATATTTCAATAAAGGTCTGATGTGTATAATTAGTCAATCATCGTCCCTCCAAAAGGGTGAATCATAATGACTTTGACGATGCCTTGACTTTTCCTGTGATATGACCTTGACTGTACTTTGTATTTTGTGCTAATTAACAAATGTTAATATTTTTGCTGTGCAAGTGAGCGTGTTAGCGTTTAGCTCAAAGCACTGCTATGCCTGTTCTTATTCTCAGGGTGTAAAATACAGATGTTTTGTCCCGACCCTCAGCGTCTCCATACAGACGCGCAACGTACACTTTAGTATCTGTTTTAGTCCTTTTTTTTTTTACAGAGGCTGTCACCCATCTGCAATGTAACCCATCTACGTCAGGTGACATAGTGTACTGATTGAGAAAGTCTGCATAAGTAAGTTTTTGGGGTCAATAAATGGATCACAGAGCTCAGGACTTTAATCCAAGAGATCAGTGTTGTGTGTGGAACCATAACTCACTTAAAGGTGCGGTGTGTAAAATTTAGGAGGATCTGATATAATAATAATTTTCATCATCTGAATATAGGATTGTTTTTTGTTACCTTAAAATGACCCATTTTTATCTACAGGCACTGCGGGTTGCTTTCTGTAGAGGCCGCCATGTTGAATGGTCATGTTTCTACAAAATGAACAAACCAAAAATTGTCTCTATACAGGGTGGATTGCGTGTTTCTTGGGTTTTTATTGGCCACCGTAGTTTCTCCTGTTCGAAATGTTTGTGAAATGAGTGAATCTGCAACTACACCTCTACATGCCACAAAATTCTACAAGTTTTATGTTTCATAACTTTACGTACGTGACTTGTTGCTGCAATAATGGCAACATGACGTTTAAGTCACCTGACTGGAATCAGGCATCATACTTAATCAAGCCCAAATCCTGATGTTTTCCTAATCCTTAATACAAACATGCAACCCAAAGTGCTTCACATATCAAACTGAAACAACACATAAAAACAAATTACAAATTAATACAATAGAAACAATAAAATGTAAAACGTAAAAGAATAAAACAAAAATAAACACCAGGGAGACAAGTAATGTAAAAGCCAAAGATTAAAACCTAAAAAACTGAGACTATAACATTATATTAAAAAGGTCTTGAGAGCTGATGTGCAGAATTCTGATTCTATTGCTTATTACTGCCACAGAGACGCTAGCCACAGATGGCTGTACTCCTTGTCTTGTCGGATGATACGAGAATGTGTTTATCTCGTTTCCCAAACTGTGCGACGGATAAAAGAAAAGAACAAACATACAGAAGACAGGACCAAACAAAACAACAAAACAAGAACAAGCTGGGAATAACAACACAAAAACCAAAAACCCAAACAGAACGATCGGTTTCAGGTTAATGTGACAGGTACATTATGCAGTAGAAAGTGAAATACAATGGGAGCTGAATAAAGAAAGAAAACAGAAATAAATAATACAGTTTATACTATAAGTCCAGAGGTATGTATTCCATTATTGTCCTATGCCATCCCACCACTGAGGGGGCCTTATCTGAGATCCAGTGCTGAAGAATATTTTTCCTGGCACAAAATGTCATTACATTATGCAGTTTTTTCTGATATATATCAGTTACACGATCACAGGGAACACCCAGAAGGAGGGAACCTGGGTCGAGTTCAAGCTCCTTCTTCAGAACCTTCTGTATTTCAAACAAGACACCACTCCAATATTTTTGTATTTCTACACAGGACCAGAAACAATGAGTAAGATAACCAATTTCTGTCTTACATGTAAGATAAACTGGAGAGACATCCTTTCTGTATTTGGAGAGACGGTTTGGACCAACATGTGCTCTATGCAGTATTTTAAATTGCATCGCTCTTGTCCGGTTACAAACAGTTATTTTCCTTGCATTATCCCAGATGGTCTCCCACATCTCCTCAGTTATCACAACACCCAGTTCCCTCTCCCAGATCCCTCCCAGCGTCCGAGCGCCGAGATTTGAGCAATCCCTCAGACATAAAAGGTTCTAATGGAAGCATTACCCTGACAGTTTCTCTATCTGTGTGACATTAGATATCAGCAAGCAGAGATGTATCTTTTATAATAAAGTCTCTGACCTGAAAATAACGAAAAAGATTTCTTGATATGCCATATTTTTTCATAACTTGATTGAAAGTCATGAGGGTAGGACCAACAAAAAGATCACCCAGGGAAGAAATTCCCTTAGCTGTCCAGCATTTGAAAGCCCTGTCCAAGGTTCCTGGGAGAAAGTCAGGGTTATCAACGATCAGGGTGAAAACCGACGTAAGCCCTGATCTGCCTTCCATATGCTGTGTAATCCTCCATGCTCTAACAGTATTAATTGTAACTGGGTTGCTGCAGAGCTTTTTAATACATTTCAGTAGATTTTTTAGACGAAAGTTGGAAAGCGACTTCTCGATATCAAGCCAGATTGACGAAGCATCATCTTTAATCCAATCAGCTATGTATCTTACATGGGCACTCAATTGATATCTCTTAATGGGTTAAAGTTGGCTTGAAACAACTGATTGAATTTAGGTGTAATATATATGCAAGTGTATGTATGTAAGTATATGAAACCTGCAGAGGACCACTTGAATGGGAAAGGATTGGGATTATCTGGTGGTTGTCGTAAAGTACCCAGAGGCAATGCCTCTGATTTGGAAAAATTTACTTTATATCCAGAAAAGGCAGCAAACCGGTCAATAATCTAAATAAGACAAGGGACTGATACAGAGGGGTTTAACATGAACAACAACACATCATCTGCATATAATGTAATTTTATGTGATTTTTCGCCCAGATCCAATCCAGCCATTAAAGGGTCTCACCTGATAAAAGTGAACGACAAAGGACAGCCCTGTCTGTTGCCCCCCAACAAAATTTGTGGACCTAAGTCCATTGGTACGACTGCAGCCATTGGTTGGGTATACAGGACCTTCACCCATCTAACAAAGCTATCACCTAAGCCGAACCGATAAAGTGTAAAAAATAAATAAGACCATTCGACGCGGTCGAAAGCTTTTTCCACATGTAGGGAAATCACAAGACCATCTATTTCCTGCTGTTCAGATAGCTGGATGATATTTAGCAATCTTCTAATGTTGTTATAAGAATTACGGCATTTAATAAAGTCGATGCTGAAATGTTTGATGAAAGCTTTTAATGTGCCCTGCAGCTAACAAAAGATAGGTTGTACCAGTCTGAGAAAGTGAAGCAGAACACAAACAGCATGCACAGTTAACGTTCTTTAGAAAAACACAAGGTCATTCTGAAAAGAGGAAGAGTTTATTCTTCATATTTTTCTCCTTTGGTCTGCTACACACACACAGAGCCACCGGCAACATGTTCATTACACATTTACTGTAGTTCATTCTGAAAACTACTAGACTGACATCAGTTTTTATAACACAAACATAAACTTAAATTCATTGTTGACTGACTCTTTAGGAGGTTTGTTGATAATAAAAAGATAAAACATCAGTCTTATCCTTAAAAGACCTGCCTTATTTGTCTCTGACAGTATTATGAACCATGGTGGGTGTTAACACCTTATTGATATGTTTATGATTTGCACATGGCTGCCAACTGTTGTGTGTGATTCTGCTTTGGTATGTATGGGATAAATTATCCTGACAACCAGCAAACCCTGACATTAATCCATGTACCATTAATCTCTGTCTGTTCTGTCAGCAGTTGCTCTACTGGTGACACCTCGTCACTGAAACCAATAAAATAAAAACTGACGCACAGCTGATAGTTTTCTGTATTGAAGGGGAATAAAAAATGTGTGCATGTGCACCTTTAATAAAAATATAGCAGCCTATCCTTCACCTGCAGTCCTATTTGTGTGGGTTTCTATATGTCTATACAGATGCTGTGTGTCTGTGTTTTCCCAGCGGGGGAAAAACCAGAGGCTTTTTGGAAAAGAGCCAATTTGGAGAGATTGAAAGCCTGAGAAGTGTGTGTGTGTGTGTGTGTGTGTGTGTGTGTGTGTGTGTGTGTGTGTGTGTGTGTGTGTGTGCGTTCGTGTTTGTGTGTGTGTTTTACCGTTGGACCTACAGGAGGAAGAGGAAGTTTATGGGAAATAACTCCAATAGCTCACAGCTGTCATTTTACTTCTCATCGGCCTCCATCTGAGAACCCACAGGATGTACATTAGAACAGGCTTCGCTATATACAATACGTGTGTGTGTGTGTTTGTACATATCGTACATATCGTATATTATTATAGAGTGAGGCTGTGGAAAGTGGCGTTTCTTAAATCTTTGCTGAAAAATGTAAGTTTGTTTATCTATCTGGGTGTGTGTGTGTGTTCAGTTGAGGTGCAGAAGAAAGACAAAACCCAAAGATGGAAGAGAATGAGTGATGTGTCTCATGTGAGTGAAGTTCATCAGAGGTCATGTCTTGGGGTTCAAGAGACTACATTTTTGCCTTTTTGAAGACTGTGCCTGTGCATGTTTTACAAGCTGAAGTAGTAAAGCAGAGTAGTAGCAGAAGTTGAAGTTGTCACAAGGGCACAAGCATCCCTTAAAAAGCATATCAAAACACATAATTGTCTTTTAATCTATGCAGTGTGCAACTTTGTGGAGCAGTGTGGAAAAGACTCCCCCCATTGCTGAGATTGGACGTCCAGTCCACCACCAGTTACTGGCAACACCTGAGAGGTTTATTGAGGAGGTTGGCTGCAGCCCCTGCAGGTAAAAGTGTCCATTTCTGACTCAACTGACATTATTAAAGTGGAGGTAAAGACTGAAGGTATCCGCTAACTAGTGACGACAGGTTTCCATTTCTTCTGGTTCTCTGGTAGGAAAACCTGCAGACATTTAAAGCTGCAGTAAGTAACTTTTTATAAATAATCTTTTTTTGTGCTAAAAGTTTCACTTTATGCTGACATGAGACAGATAATCTGTGAAATATGGTTCCTCTGGCTTCTCCTTGTGCTCCTAAAGAATCCACCGTGCCTGAACATAAACACTTCACACTTTAACACATAGAGTCACTATTTGACAACCAAGGAATGAGAGACTTAACCATCAACGATCCTTCTTTGCTCTGATCGGTTGTATTTGTTCAGGCACGGTGAATTCTTGCAAAATAAATCTAATAAGAAAACATTGAGATAGACTAGCCTTTAGTACATGTTGAGTTGAAACCATCCCTGTTCAATCAATTGGTTTACCTTGATTGGGTGAGTAAATTGTAAATTGACTCGGTGCTGATGTGGGGTTAGGACCTGTATCAGATGGAGATATAATCATTTATTTGCTTAAACTTTGAATGCTTTATGCCAGTGTTAAGCTAGATGTCTACACACTTTGTGTGAGTCAATTTGTTTTTTTCATGAGGCTGTTTTTCTTGTCTTATGTTCCCCGTGTTCACCCTTGTATACTGGTAACCTGTATCTCCAGGCTCCCTGTTGCGTAACATGTGGCTCTTAACCCACCGGTCGACTGGTTTGCTATAAATGCTTTTCTGTCTCTTTCCCACAGCTAGAAACCAGAGGAACAAGATTCTAATCTTCATCAGCATCACAAGGCAAAACCTCAGAGCCGAGTCGTGGACTCTGCACGAAGAGCTGAGGGGAAAGTGCACAGCAGGGATGGAATTCAGCTCTTTATCTGGGAATAAACCAGTCTGTTTTAACCATGATATCACCAATAATCTGTTTTGTGATCAAGAGCCGAGTGCTGGAGCTGCTTCATTAACAATAAATGACACGGGGAGGCACAGGAGCTGCCAGAGAATACATGGATGGATGCTCCTCTATCTCTATCTGAGATATACTCTGTCATGTCTGTAAAATTTGTCAAATGTCTCCCAACCACAGGAGCAGCATTAAAGTTTAGTACAGTATGTAATGTTGAATGAGTAAAACCTGGATTTTCAGCTGCCAATAAACCTACTAGTTGCTATTCAATAATCTCTGAATAATGTTTCCATTTGTAAATCTTTTATTCTAAGTCTTAGAGCAAATGGATTTTGGCTACATATGTTATTGTTTTGTTGCTTGTTTTATGTAAAAGTTATGGTATTAACAAATATTACAGAATATGATTTGTATAGTGCTGTATGACTGTACCTAACGAGTGAAGCTTATTTATTGACCTAGGCAACAAGTTGTGAAAAATAATGCAAACACTGCAGTAATATAGTTTTTTTATAATTATTTCTTAAAAATATTAAGAAAAGACCCCAAAATATTGTGTGTACTGCGATATTATTGCTATCATAACCGCTAGATAGCCAGGTTATAAACGTAAACTGAGGGCTGTGACGTTGGACGTTACATGGATTGTGATAAATACAAATCCTACTGTTCTGGTTGCATGAAAAAGTCAACTTTTTTAAAACTGCGACAGCTTGACAGAAAGGATGGGATGAGGACTTCAGCTTCAGTACATGGGGCACAGACTCTACCAGCGGAGCCACCAGGGAGCCCCATAGTGCTTTTTTTACTCAGATTTTATGCATATGGTGGTTAGATCCCCTTTGCTTACAGTATTGCAATACTTAAAATATATTAAATCGTGATGCATAATCTTGTCAGTACATCTATTACACATGTATCACATGTATATCTATTACACAGTTGCAGTGTGTTAATTCTGGTTGGGAGTACATCGCCAGCACTCAAGCCTACCACTATACTATAACAGTAGAAAGTGAGGCAGGCTGAGGTAGTGGGAAGCACCTTATTATACCACCCTCTGCTGTGAAGGAGAAGAACTACACCTGCCTGAGCAGAGGCAGGAAATGTCAAGTTCATCGAGGCTGTGAAAGTGTGTGGCGTGTACATACGTGTGTGTGTTTGTGTGTGTTTTGTGGATAAGTGTAGCCATGCGTCAACTCAATCTGGTTCTCCCTCATGTGGATTTACCGATCCACTGCCGATTGTAATAATTAATGTCTTCCTGTCTGAAACTGTGAGAAAACTGCCTCTGAAGGACCACGGGGGCCACCCAGTTGTGGGCCAGGCCAGACAGAGAAGTTGTTATCTGGGCCCGACACACTCCTGTGCTGCCCTCGGCCAGGAGGAAAAGGGGGCTCCGAGCACTCAAGCATTTGTGGATTGAAGATGCACAAAGAGAGAGTTTAACGGCTTTGCACAGATGGATGCGGTGTGCAGTAGAAACAAGAGAAACCAATTTTCCTATCAAATTAACATCGGTTGGTGGAATTCCAACAATTCAGGCGGCCTGAATGCTGCTCTCTCTCTCTCTCTCTCTCTCTCTCTCTCTCTCTCTCTCTCTCTCTCTCTCTCTCTCTCTCTTTGTGGTTTGAAAGTAGTTGCCTGGTTGCCCTCAGTCAGTTTCTCTTGAGACTGACCTACTCACGTGTCTGCACAGCTTCTCTTCACAACAGTTTGCCCAGCTTGCCTGTTTTAGCTGTAGTGTTAGTTCTGTGCTTGCCTGCTAAAAATCAGTTGGTTTATATTATCGGTTTATTTTGTGTAGTTACCTATGTCAGTTTGTAATTACCTGCCCTCTTGCGTCAGCACCATCTGTATCGATTCCCTGGTTGTTTGTATTAAATACTGCTGCCTGTCAGTATTGAGAGACAACTGCTCTTGTCTGAAAGGCTGCAGGGTTAGGAGGGAGTTTCTTTATCCAGGCTTTAATAATGTAAGGGAAAAAAAAGAAATACGTCAGTCTGTTGAGTAAGGTTGCAATTAATGATTATTTTCATTATCGATTCATTTGTTGGTCTTTTACCTGATTTACCTGACCCTCAAATCTCTCATTTTCTCCACAACCCAAATATATTCAGTTTACTCTCATAGAGGATGAAAGAAACCAGAAAATTACTTATCAAATTTTATATGAAGCAATTTATAACAAAGGTTTTAAAAGTGCTTTATAAAGAAAGATTATTATTATTATTATTAATATTCACATTTGTGAAGCTGAAATCAGAGGATTTTGACATTAATTCTTAAAATATGACTCAAAAAACTATGAATGGATTATCAACATAGTTGGTAACTTATTGATGAATTGACTTATCCTTGCTTCTTTAGTATGAATACATTATATGTAGACTTTTTAAAATTTTACAGTTTAGTTTTATGAAAAAAGTTTTGTCATTTACATATGCTAATTTAATATTGTTTGAATTTCAGCAGAATCTATAAATGTTTAGTTAAGAATTGGGTAAACCTAAGTGGTTTTGCCACTTTTATGCTTAATTAGTGACCATTTATCAAAAATCAACTCAAACTTTTAATCATGGTCCACTGCAACTCGGGCCTGTGAAGTCCATCCATTCAAAGTTTCTGTGTTTCATAAAGTTCCTAATTCCAAAACACACAAGCAAACAAAAGAAAAAAGAGGTCCTAGTTCCTGTGTGCCCACCCAGGTGCATCCTGGTCCTATCCCTGCCTTCCTACCTCAGGTGTCCAGTGTTACACAGGCAAAACAAAC